GCCGGGGGGCAGGGGTAGCAGCCGGCTGAGGGGGAAGGCTCCAGGGCTGGCATGGGGCGAAAGCATGACCGCGATGCCGTGGTGCCGGTTGGAGCCGGGAGGGGACGGAGCCCAAAATAAGTGCTTATAATGCTACCGGACAGGTCTGACCAAAAGACTTGGGTCCCCCTGGCCCTGGCTGGAGACCCAGGGTGAGGGTTTCTCCCTTCCCCCTTGCGGTGCCGGATCGTTTGCAGCAGGGTGGTTATTATTAGCCGAGCCTTGACCCCGCAGGTATGCTGGCCCCGCGTCCCAGTAGCGGGTACCGGCAGCTGAAACTGTGACTCAGTGTCCCCCTGCGTCACCCTGCCTCCCTCGCCCTGCCGGGGAGCGCGAAGGAGGGCTCTGGGGTGGCAGATGGGGGGCTGGCATGTCCCCGTGGGCATCTGCTGCCAGCGGGGAGCCTGGGGCAGGTATTGCTGGGTAGGAGGAGGGGAATAAGGCAGGGACTGGAGGAGGGAGGAGGGATGGAGGCTGCAGCTGTGCCTGTTTTTCCCCTCTGCAGCTGGACTGTGTAATCTTTGAATGCCCCATTTCCACTTAATCTGAAGGTGCGGTCCCGGCCACTTCGGGAAGGGGGGGAAATCCCCTCCCACGCAGGAGTGAGCAGCCGCTGCCCTTGGCAAACACCGGAGAAGGAGGACTCAAACCCCTCTGCCTGGAGAGCAGCTTGGGGGGCCACCTTGGGGGGTCCCTGAGCTGTGGCCCCTGAGCTGTGGCACAGCTCTCATTCCAGGGTCACTGTCCCTGGCCCCGTCCCAAGGGCTTGGGGGACCTTTCCCCAGGGAGGGGGGGCCACAACCCGGCCCCGCTGCCAGCGAGGGGGAAGGATGGATGGGGAAACGTCAACATGGGGTGGCCCTGGAGCTTGGGTGCCTCCGCGCCCCCGGTGCTGGGTGGGACTGTTTGCCCTGAACACTTGGAGTTTTGGGTGAGTTTTGGGTGTGATGGCTCCGGAGCGCTTCCCCACCCTCAGGGCAAGGCTGGCTGCACCCAAAACCAGCTGGGCGTGGGCCCACTCCTCGCCCTGGCTCTGGGGGCCGGG